GTGACCTCATCTTAACTAATTACATCTGTAACAACCCTGCTTCCAAGTGACGTCACATTCTGAGATACCTGGCATTAGGACGGCACGGTATCTTTTGGGGCTACACAATTCAGCCCCTAACAGCTAGTATATGCCAGGTGCGAGGACCAGGCCACTTCACCGGGTCCTGACACTCGTTCTAAATTAGTTCAGGGGCTCTCTACCCACTTTGTGCGACAGCACAGAGAATCACCTGTGGAGTTGGTTTCTTTGAACGTATTCATGCCCGGTGCCACTCACCAGAGATTCTAATGTGATAGATCCAGGCTGGGAGTCAACCATTAAAAAAAACAATGCAATGAAACACTAAAGTGTCATAAATGACTACAATGCTCATCCAGAAATAAGAATCACTGACCGAGGTCCATCGGAATAACAATACTCTAAATTAGAAAATGGAGGCAAAAAAGAGGGGAAACGGTATGTCCCAAGCTCATTCAGTACGTAGATGGAACAGCAGGTTTTAAACTCAGGTCCGGCTCAGACAGAGCCCATTCCCTATTACCTGTGCTGCCTCTGTGCCTACGTGTGTCTTGACAGTGTGACTACACTTGTTCTGTGTGTATATCCACACATGATGTAGGCACGTGGCTTTTACATGTAAAAAGGTGTGCGCTGGTATCTGCTTTATGGGTTTTCAGTGGAGGCATGAGTTTCTTTGGGAACAAACATTTATCCGAACATCTTCATAGATACTGTCACCAAGCCTGAGAACGGCTTCTACAGAGGACACCCACTAAACTGTGAGGTTGTCTCTCACAATTCACTGTCACTGTCTACACTGTCTGAAGTATCTGGTACTGGGTACTCAGCCCATAAACATTTCTAGAATCAATGAATGAACAGATGTCCATCTAAATAAATACCACCCAACAGGAGTGGCCCTCGTTGGATTTTGTTTCATTTCCCCCCCATAATCATGTTGGGAAACAGCGATCCCTTGGCTCCAGTTTCATGATTTTTGCACCCCTTTATCCTCTCTAGACCAGAAAAAGAAACAGTTACTAATTTGGGGACTGTCGCTGATGTGGAAATCACTTTAATCCCATTAAATGTCTGCTCGCAGACATTCTACAGTATGAAATGTTGCCACTAGAGAAATGTAGAAGATGGAGGATTTTAAAGGTCATCTGGTTCAGCTGCGAGGCTCTGGCGCACACTCTTCTATAACTGTCTTCATGTCCTGTGATGTCACTGCCTTGCTTTCAACGCCCTCCAATATCAGGCCCTAAATATCAAACCATATGGCCGTAGAAGGTCGTGGATTTGCGAGACAGCTTTGGTGTTAAACAGACGATTGCCATGTCCCCGTAAGTTCAGGACAGTTTCCCAATGTAGTTCTGGTTTCCCCCCTTAATGTTACAGCAGCAGCCACTTTGCCCCTCAAACCTGTGTTGGGTTAGAATATGTGATATGGCATGCTTCATAAGCACACAGACATTTACAACATGTTTGGGTTCAGAAAACATGGACGCCCCACCCCCCGCCATCCATCCTTATTTCCATTCTTACCTAACACATGCCCTTTGGGGTGCTCATGCATGTCTCACGACTGCCTCCTCCATTGTACAAAGCTTGTCCCTGCCTCTGAGTTTGCTCATGTTCCTCCCGCTGCCTGGATTGTTCTCCTTCTTCAATCCCACTTATGTAAATCGTACCGATCTTTCAAAACTGCACTCAAGCCCCATTTCCATGAAGCCGCCTCTGTCGACTCAACCCACACTGACTTCTCCTCCCTTCTCTTAACTTCCACCCGTGACACTTGCTTTGCTGAAACAGGGTGAGGCGTGAAAGGCACCTTTTAAGTGATGGGTGCCCACCTCCTCCAAGCGCTCTGCCTACGTTTCATGTAGAAAACTGCAGGTAGCACCTGGTTATGATAATTTGGTCTCTCTATCAACAGGTCAGCTTTCTGCAAAGGTGGCTCATTAAAAGAAATGAGAATATAATGATCTGTGTATGAGTGCATTTTTCTTATAAAACGGTTGTGTTCAAGCCTAAGAAAGCTGCAAATAGAACATTTAAACTGGAGACTCTCTTAAGAGGTCTCCCTGCCTAACCCCCTCTTCCCCCACGCTCCCCTGCCCCAGCATCAAGATGGTCATCCAACTTATTTGTATGTCCTTTGAGCCCATCTTTCCAGGTACCTTGTTCCCTTGCTGGGCAGATCTAGCTGTTCAAGTTCTTCCTTATAATACAGTATTTTCTCAAAGTTAAGTTTGTGGACCATCTGCACCATGATTCTGTGAGGTGCTTATTAAACATCAGATTCCCAAGTCCAACTCCAGCCATACTGAAGCACCGTTTGGAGAAAAGAAACAATAACGTACATGGCTAACAGGATTTCCAGATGGTGTTTATTAAACCAGACCGCAAGGTCCACTGTTGGAGTCAGTGGATCCTATAGTATCGAGAAGTCAGCTCTACCTCCCTAAGAACAAAGACCAAGGCGCTTCCCTTTTCTTCATGTCAGCTCTGCCAACACTGGATGCGGTCCATTCTCTCTCCCTTCCCTCCTTCACACCCTTTTGCAACCCAGGTTATTTAACTCTTCTTTCGACTACACAGTTCCCTACCCCGAACCAACTTGAGTACACTCCCCTGGGTCTTCTTGTGCTTAACAGTGTCCCTCTCAAAATGTGATGCCCAAATGAGGCGGAGAGAGCTCAATGTTTAATGCTTTTATTACATACTGCCAATTTTATGAAGTATGCAGATTTATACCTCTGCCAGCTAACAATGAAAGTACCCATTTGAGCCTTAACTAACCAGCAGTGAGTATTATCATTTTGTCAATCCCTACTAATTGAATAGTCACATGATGTTGACTGCTTAGAGTTGTTTGAATTTGGGTGCCTTTGTTTATATTTTTCACATATATAATATATTGGCCTCTGGGAGTTCTATTGTGAACTGTCTGCTCCTGTCCTTGCTGGTTTTTACTTTTTCCTTTTAATTCATTATGAGAGTCGCTGTGGCAAGTAAGTCCTTTTAATGCATCATCTCATCTAATCCTCCAAACATTTCCTTCAATTTATAGGTGAAGAAACTGAGCCTTCAGAAACTTATCATGAAGAAACACAGTTGGGTCTTCAGCTGCCTCATTGATTTAATTAACTTTTTTTTTTTGGAGAACAATTATTCATCTTTTAGATACTTTGTAAAGTGAGTTAATAGAGTCAAGTATTTAGGATGAAATTTTGAGGAAGTTTCAACAGAACACTATTAGGAATTTTCACAACTCCATTACCTCCTTACATGGACCTGAAATTCCCTTGTTTTTCCTGGCCTAGAGGGAATAGTGACCAAGTTATAATCAGTTAGTGGACAGAGATGTTATTTACTGATACCAGGTTTAAGGAGTTCAAAAGTATATATGCAAGTGAGATCGGGTTTCATTTTTTCCATTTTATGTTCTCAAGACCAGTGTTTATGCAGTTAACTACGATCCTAATGTTAATTATTTATAAGATTTTAGTCCAAATAGCTGAGCTTCTTCCTCTTGGTTTTGGTTAATTTAATCAAACTCCACGCAATTATACTTTCATTGAAAGTACATATGCATAAAGTCAAAGTGATATTTAAATCAACTGAATTTACAATCAGATTAAAAGAAATGCAAACAATTAAGTACGGAGCTGAGTTGAAAGCAAAACTAAAAATAATTTAATCCTACGCCATTTTTCTACCAAGAAGGTAGCTCAGGCCAAAAGGTCAAGAGTTCTCAATCTCACACAGTAGTGGTAAAATTGAGATTCAAGCCCAGGTTTCCTGCTTTTAAATTGAGTCTGTACAGCTGGGCCTTTCACTGACACTTAACTATTCCCAACTTTACTCAAAAACACCCTGGTCCTTCAAAACTCTCATAAACTTTTCAAAACAAAATCTATAAACTGGGCTTCACAACAGCTAATGTAATTTTAAAGGTCTTGGTTCCCTAGCTTTGTGATTCCAGGCAGCTGAGAGGAGTCCTTAGGGGCTATATTTTTCTATAAACTTTGATGGAAACTCAATTTCTTCCTTATTAGTTATGAATAAAAACATATTCGCTTGTAATTCCAAGGTCCTCCATTTTGCCCCAAATCTTTCTTCCACATAAGAAACAAACACAACAGGAAAGAATTTTTTATTATGTCAGTTCTGTTGCCCATTTCCCCAGATAAGAAGGGACATCTTTCTTGTTTATTTCAATTTCCCATCACGCTCTTTTCGGACCCATAATTTTAAACTACACAAAAATTTTAAGTTCACTTTCTCAACACTAAAATTTTAGTTCCTCACAACTCACTGCCTGGCAACCATGCTGTCTTCACAGAACATAAAGAGAAATTAACATTTAAACAGATTGTTCTAAATAGGGACAGAAAGTAAATTTTAAAAAGCAAAGGATACTCCAATATGTTGACTATAGATTGTGTATATGGTTTCTAGAATGTTATTCTCCAGAACTTAGTCCCAATTTGCTAGCCTCCACCCACCGCCAGACACTCTTTTCCATCCATGCCCACCTTCACCCACCAGTAATGCCCTCCACCACACACTCTCTCCTACAAATGAGTCTCCCCTCCCACAGAGACCTTCCCTCCCCACCCAGACCTCTCTCCCACACGGGAACCCCCTCCATAAGTAGACATTCTCTCATGCTCACTCTGCCTCTCTCCCACCCAACGCACAAACAAAACCAATCATGGGTAGCATCATAAAGTAGCACATTATACCAAGGTTGGGCCTGCACAGTCAAGCCCGAAAACCATTCAACTTGACCCCTTGAAAGCCATGTTAACTTGATATACTACTCTCTCTGTCACCTGTCTCACAAGGGACCAGCTCTTTCAAACCTCTCCTTGGAAATTCAGGCACCATGATCCCTGCTGCCTTGAGACTCAGCTGGGAAGTCTGCCCCCCGCCCCTCCGCCACCCCCGCCAGAGAGCTCAGAGCCCTGAGGCCTGAGCACACTCACTGCAAATCGGACTTGGCAGTTCTCCTCGCCCAGGTAGCACAGGTCTCCTGAGGCATTGGTCTCCAGCCATAGGTGTTCTCCATTCACGGCATTCTCCTGGAAGGAAAAGACCCACCTGACTTCAGTTTTCTTTTCAGACATAAGGTGGGAAAGTGCTCAGGTTTAGGTTTTGCATGCAAGAAAGTCAGGGAAGCCAAGGAGTTTAAACATTTCTCATTTTACCCCTAAAACTACTGCTGGTATTGACCCTATCAAAGGGCTCGGAATGGAAAAAGGGGTTTGGAAATGCTTTGAGCCAATAAGGAAAATGGACATTAGGTCTATCGATGCTTTCTCCATGGATATGGGAATCTTTGAAACATATATTACACAAATAAGGAAATAAGATTCAAATGGTTCAATGAAGGGCTTACTTATCCAGGCCCAACACTGCAGATTCCATAACAATTTAAACCAAAGTTCTACTTAAAGTTGCCTTTACTAAGCAAATTTGCAAAGATGAGAGTATTAAAGTACCTTAAGTAAAGACTGTTTGAAAAACAGATTTATAACAATAATACATCACAGCTCTAAGCCCGAGGTTTCTTGAAACTCAGTTTCAAGTTTCAAGTCGCTGTGTACTCAAAGCCTAATACATTTCTACTAATTCAGACATTTTGCCTATTCAGCAGGGCCTTCACCCAGATAATTCTAAATTGTTCAAATTGAAAGAGCCCCCCGCTTCGAAAAATATTCAAATACTTCTGGTATTTGAATATTTGCAAACAGCGAATAACTGTAGGTTTGGACCCTGAAAGTTTTCAGATAGTGATGGATGAGGACCATATTTTTAAAAATTAATTAATCAAGTCTTGGCTATTGTAAATAGCGCTGCGATAAACATAGGGGCGAACGAGTTTCAGAGCAGCAGTGACTTGAAACTGAATATTCAGATTTTATTGCCTTGATTAAAAACATCTATTTCAACCACCATCATATTGCAATATGACTGAAAGTGAATGAAATGTGTAGCAAATAAACTTAATCCATTACTGAAAAGGCACTTCTTTGCTAGGGATTCTAAAGAAATTGATTCCCACAATCTAAAATATTATACTACTAGGAATTTATCATCCAACTTTAATGCACAACCATTTCTAGAATAAAATCCCTTTTCTTCCTTTTATCCTTTAATTCATTCAATAAACATTTATTCCACATCACCGGCACCAGGCACTGGGTTAATGTGGTAACCCAGGCAGTAAAATCTACCAGTGAACATGGAAACTAAACACATAATTACAGCAGCAAATACTAGAGAAATCTAGACACAGCCAAGATCCCGCCAACTCTTCTAGAAAGCGAAGTAGAAAATGTTGCAGTGGGGAAATGATAAAAAAAAAAAAACCACTGGTAATACCAGTTAGGCCAGGAATGAAGTCCTGGCAGGCCAAGTACAGTAGGCAGGAATGGCCAAATCCTGGGAATCGGGTTTTTCAGCACATCATCACTCATTCCCTGGGCAATCAGGCTTCATCCTGGGCCAGGGGCTATTTGCCCCCTGCACAGAGCACACCACCTGCTGATAAACCTTGCCCCAGATTCCGACACAGCAGGACTGCTTAGCTCACTTCACCCCTGAATGGGTTTCTGATTAGAAAGATGGATCTTTGTAAGGAAAGAGGAAAAGAAACAGATGGAGGCTTCCAGCCACAGCGGTTCTAACACACTGGTCCTCAAATGTGACTGCTCATTAACATGACCTGGTGAGTTTTTAAAAATACCTGGGTACCACTCGCAGAGAGTCCATTTTCACTATTCTGAGGGGAAACCTGGACATCAGGAGTTGTTGGAGTTCTGGAGGTGACTCATCTGTGCAGCTGAGTCTGAGACCCAATAATCGAGTAGACCCTCCCCTACCTCTTCAAGCTTATTAGATAATAGCTTCTAGAACTTGTCTATGACTGATCAATTAGGCTTGACACTTCTCTGCCCTTCTACAGCCACCAGAGAAGAAGGTGACAGAGGAAGAGCGACGTGGCATGAGATCGCCCAGAGGGATTATAAGGAAAGAGACATGAAACCATAGATACACAGTGAGAAAGCTCAACGTTAACAAGATAGATCCTGGGGGTAGGAAAAAGGAAACACACTGACAGAAGCCTTTAAAAAAGCCATATAATGAATTAAAACATTCATAGATTTGCCTAGTAATCTCACTTTTGGGGATGTGCCCTAAGGAAATAATACTAATGGGAAAAAAAAATCTACGTCTATTTAAGTGGTTTAGCTTCTCTTCTAGGTCTTTGTAGCCAAGACTGCTAGCCATTCACCATGATCATTTTTCTTTTCTTCCTGAACACATAGCTAAACCTGATTACCCAGCCGCCCTTGTAATTAGGTATGGCCACGTGACCAAGTTTTAACCAATGGAACATGAGCAAGAATGGCTGGTACTGTTTTCAGACTTGGCCCATTAAAACCTCCCACATGTATTCCTTCATGCTCCTTTTCCATCCTGGATCCCTGGAAATTCAACTTCTGGGATGATTTTAGAAGCCTTCTGATGAAGATGTAAAAGCAACTGTCTGTCTGGGTCACTGAATAACCATGGAACAGGGCCAACCCCCTACCCAGCCTACCTGGAACAGTCCTGGTCTGTTACACAAGTGAGAAATCAACTTCTATATTTAGCCATTACCCCAACTAATACAGTCCTCTTCTCTTTGCCCATATTTTCATCTGGATTTTCTTTCATTATCTACAAGTTACTTAGCACACACTGAACAGCATGTCTAATCTCTAAGTCCTTGTTTCTTCTGCTCTGAATTCTAATTCTGACATCCTCACTGATAATTTACACTGCTGTAAAATTAATTCCCCTACAACATAGCTATGAGTATGCCTCTTTCTTGCTCATGATGCTTCAATGATTCCCTCTTTTTTATAAAATGAAACCCAAATTGAACCGCACATACAAGACCTTCCATTAACGGCACCAATCTGTCTATCTTTAATCTTCCTTATTCACCTTCAGCCATTTAACTCTCTTGTCACTCTTCTCTGAAGGTAGCCATACTTTCCTTTTTGTGTACCATGTTTTTTGTTTATTCCATTCCCCCCACCCAGGAACCTTTCTGTCTTCTCTGCACATCCATTTTGAAATGTCATCTCAAATAGCATACAACTCAGAGTATCCATCTGTGCCAGACCCCACCCCCTCACCCCCCATAAAAAATAGCTCTCCCATTTCTAAATGAAGATAACATTTCTTCTGTATTTGTGAGTGCTGAGACAGGTCTCTAGAGATATACATATATTTATATAGATAAGTGTACATATAGATAGATCCAGCTACCTAAGAGTAGAGATCAACATAGGTAGATATATAGAGAGAGGGAGAAATTATTCCTTGCTCTCAAGTTCTACTGAAGTCCTAGTAATAGTTATAGGTAAAAAGATGATAGTTGGGGGGCTGGGTATTACAGGCTGAATAACACTTACCGACACTAGAAACAAATCATCTACACAAAATGAAAACATTTGCTTATACAAACGTTTTGAAACAATTAGAAAAATTATACGTATGCATCCTGTATAAATGTCCTTAGAAATTCAGGAAGGAAAATAATATATTAATATATATCTGGACTGTCTTCTCCTAAAATCTTCAAGATAATAGCAGGTAAAATCTTTCTTGGATGGTTTAGCTCTGTGCTGCCCAATAAGCACATGGCTATTCTATTGAGCACTAGAAATGTGGTTAGCACTAATTGAGATGTGCTGTCAGTGTAAAATTCACAGCAGATTTTGAAGACTTAGTGTGAAAAAAGAATGTAAACCATCACTGATCATTTTTATATTGATTACATGTTGAAATGGTAATATTTTTTATACATATGGTTAAACAAAATATAGTGCTAAAAATTCATCTTACCTATTTCTTTTCACTTTTCTTAATGTGGCTACTAGAAAATTTAGAATTACTTTACGGCTAATAAATATTTCAACTGGACTTTCTTCGTGTACGTTTAGCTCATCATTTGCCAGGGGCAGATCAGGCCTAGAAAGTTCTCACTGACCTGCGAAGGAGTCTATGATTTCCCCCAGAAGCCAGTGTGATTTCCTTTAAAATTCTCACAGTTTTGGAAAACAAAGTGAGAGTGCATGAAATCAGGCTAGATATTTCCCACAGTTAACATGGCTGAGCAGGTCCAGGACCTCCGCTGACTTAGAGATGGGTAGTTCCTTGGGAGCTCTCAGCAATCTGATCTCTTGATTAGCCTGAACACATTCTTTGAAATGTGGATGGGAGTGGAGAAAACCGTTGCAGGGGGAAGTCACTACTGGTGATGACACTCAAGCCCGAAGGTCAAGATGCTGAGGACTGAAGCTTGTAAAGGAGGCACACGTCTGCCAGGATTGCCGTTTTGGTACAAGACTAAGATGAGAACATGAGCGCACGCAGACACGCACGCCTGCCTCCTCCTGGATTTTCATTCACGGTTGCTAAAGATAAGATGACCTAGTTTCATAACCTAGTTTAAACCAACCCCACGTGAAGACACCGTTTCCCTGATCTTGTCCCTGAACTCAACCGTGAGGCGGTGCACTGACTGTTACACTTCTACCTGCCTGGGAGAAAGCCCTTCTGTTCTCAGCATCGTCAGCGACCCGAAAGGAAAGGGGGTCTGGATTTAGGATCTGGCTTTGTTTGTGTTGAGGCTGTTTTCCATAGCCTTCAGGGCTGTAGGAAATGTTCCAATGGGTGAGGAAAAAATGAATCGAAAGCAAGGTTGAAAACCAACATGACCTTTAAGAAAGGCTTTTCCACCATTTGCTTGGAGAACTGTTTTAGGGAGTGAAATGGGAAAAAAAAATCATAAAACAGTGGAGACAGAACGAGACCCACCTCCTCTGCTCTCACTATAATAGTAAAAACAGGGAAGAAATCTCTAAGTCCAGATGAAGCCTCCATCGCAGGAGAGACATGTGACATTTAAGGGAAGAGATACATTATCTATGCGATAGACACACTTCTAAATGAGCTAACTCACTCTAAACTGGAAACTTGGATTCCAGCCCGGGAGATGAGAATATTGTTTTTCCTTTTTGAG